TTGCGCAGAGTTGTAAAATGGATAACTCAGCAGCCATATTCTCACCTCTGTTCGTGAAAGATATAAGTGTTACCAATGTGAACGCGTGCACACATAAAAAGGAAAAGAAAGGTTCACATCGGTCTACAACTGAATGACAAAACAGACCAACATAGTTCAACACGTTAGTGGATGATGAAGGCGAAGAGCAAATGCTATCCCCTTTCATCTCCCCGCCACAGGGCGTTCCAATAGAATCACTGCATGGTGGGAATAACGTAAGGGGGTATGCAACCACTCTTGCGCAGAGTTGTAAAATGGATAACTCAGCAGCCATATTCTCACCTCTGTTCGTGAAAGATATAAGTGTTACCAATGTGAACGCGTGCACACATAAAAAGGAAAAGAAAGGTTCACATCGGTCCACAACTGAATGACAAAACAGACCAACATAGTTCAACACGTTATTGATGAAAACTTAGAGAGTGCATGAACAAGCTTCTCAAACAAGCATTACCTCCAGAACTTCCCAGGCAGCTTGGAAATTGCTAGGCTCCTCCTCTGTGTCATCCTTTGCTTCAGCGTCAGGTTCTTAAAATATAGAGATTAGCACGTAGCACAACACGACCGATCGAACAAATTACAATTTTCAATAATGATACCACACCTGAAACAATCGGCACTGCTTCGGCATCACCTGCTTCGTTCATCTCAACTGCATCAGTTTTTTCATCAGTCGAGGCAGGCTCTGTGGCGGATTCGGTAGCATCGGGTACGGCTGGTTCTACGGCAGCGGATTCAGTAGCGTCAGACACAGCAGGCATTTCGGCATCGACAGGGACTGCAGGAACCTCCCCTGTCGACACTGTAGAGTCAGGGGCTGTTGGCTCATCAACAACGTCAGCGCTGTCCTCAGATTCTGAAATTTGAGCTATCTTATTAAGTGGATAAACCTCACTGGAAAGAAAATCAGAACACAATAGCTACCAGGTATGCTATCTTCTTCAAGCGCCTCTTTTTCAGAGCTCTCTGCCACCTTGTCGTCTTTCACCTCACTATCACCACTGGCAGCAGTTTCAGCCTTGTCCAACTCCTCTGCATTTTCTGCGAGAGCCTCTTCCACTTGCTCTCTTATCTCTTCACGCTCACTTTCTGAACGGCAACAGATGTATCAAGCACTAAATTATGAAGTGCCAACTTCTGGTACTAAAATTAAAACAAAGGGTGCTAGTGAGGTTTCACAAAATTCAAAATTAACTATACTTAGTGTCCGCTCTAACACAGCGCAGATCATTAGAGGCATTATCATTAGACCAGTTTTGCTCCGCCCGCTATCGCGCGCATCACACGGCAGGCTTTAGCGAAACTGGAGGACCCATGGAATATCAGCATGAGGTACTCCATTAACCACCTCACTATTGAATGTGTTAGACCTTTCCCTGAAGTCCATCGAGAATATGCGTGATAACGTCTGGTTATCATTAGATCGTTAGGGGACGAGATGTATTTCATCTTCGCTAAATGGCCCGCGAAATCTAGACAAAGCGTGAAGAAGCGATCCAAGGTTTGACGGCTGGCTTGCTGAATATTCTTCAAAAGTTGATTCAGTAAAAAAAAATAGCACGTTGATACTTGTCTTCCGTGCACATGTGACTTTTCAATCTCTAAGGCTGCTTTCATAAACTGCGCCGTCCGCGGACGGCGCAGACTATGAAAGCAGCCTTAGAGGTTGAGGTTGGGGGCGTTGACTTGGAAAGCTGAACCCAATATGACAAACTTCAGAATTCAAGGTTAAGTAGTGGAACTTATTCAAAAAGTTCCTAGTAGAAGAGTTAGTCCCGTTGGGACTTTTTTGGGGGTTTGCGGAACTATTTTTCTGGAACCGCGACTTTTCAACCTTCAAACGATCATAACTTCCTTCAAACTCATTGATTTGGGAAGCTGAACCCAGTACAACAAACTTCTAATTCAAGCTCTTTAAAAAGTGCTGAAACTTATCCCAAAAGTCCCCAATTCAAAAAGTTAGTTCCCGTTGGGACTTTTTTTAAGGGCATTCTTCAAGCCATTTTCTTGAAAACGCGGGTTTTCTTAGGTTTCACTGGCCGTAACCTCCAGGAAACAATTTTATGTTGAACTTAGGATGTGTTAGAAAGCTTCGAGCATGCGCTTGCACTGACATCCCCTGCCTTGGTGTGCGCCACGCCTCGGCCGCGCTTCTAATTCGCTGATTCATTTGAAAGCTCATTTAGAAGGAAGCGTGAGCTGAGATGCTCTACTATCAGTTATTATGCGTTAACATCACGCGATTCTATTATCAATCTGGAAGAAGCAATTATTATTATCATCTGGGAAAGAATGGAGGAATTTCCCGGGGGGGGGGACTACTTTAATCAGCAAGATCGAAGTACATCTGCGTTCTAGAAGAGGCGCGAAGCATCCAAAATCAGCTGTTACTGGAACTTTTGAAATTTGAACTATTAAATGCATCTTTAGCCCTACTTCGTACCATAAAGCACTCGGCAAACCAACCAGTAAGCTTATCGGGATCACCAATGGTTTCATCCTTATCTTGTTCATTTTCCTCGACGCCGTTCTCTGCTTCTTCGGTCTCTTCCTCATCTTCGTCTGCTTCAGGCATATCGGTCATTGCGTTTTTCAACACATCAGCCTCGATGCGGCCCAATTCGATGAGGCACTGTCCATAGTAATAATGAGGATCGAACGACTCACTGGCGAACACGCCGTAGACTTCAGCTCTGAAAAAAGCCAACACTTCCAGCTATTCTAGTTTTTGAAAGCACTAAAAATCGAAATAAAATTCTTACGAATAGTTGGCACAGGTGCTGAGTTTATCAGCCGCCGCTTCATAATCCCCTGCCTTGAAATCGCGTTTCCTGAGCTAGAAGCTCCTTAACAGCTTCTTTTTTCCTAAAAAGAATAGATTTCAAAAAGCAAGTACACGTGTCATGTGAAATCGTGTCGTTGGTTTGAGTAGAAGGAACTTCGGGGAAATCAATACTACAAATATGCCCATCCTGTAGGTCCTCCTTTCCTAAAATTTATCCTTAGTAAAAGGAGGAACCCCGGGGCGAGTAACGAATCCAGAAGTATATTAGGTTGTCTCGAAAGTTCGTGCGTATTTATTGGATCTCATGCCACAAGCTCCTTCAACAAATTCTAAATATGTTCACGTAGGCTGTAGATAGGGCACACCGTGTAGTAAATTATACCCGAATCTTACCCACCATCGTCGCCTTCTTCGAGCTCAAAGTGGAAAGAGAGAAGAGCTATGTTTTTCGCGCTCTGACGTAAGCAGCTCTACTGAGCCACAAACCGATTGAAGCCAAAAGCGGCGTCTGCATCGCGGTGCATCTCCTTGCCCTCACCAACAGTGAGGTATCAGAATAGCTGGATCTTCTCTGCTTGGGAGACTACAGCTGGTAGACAAACCCTCGTTCAGAGAGGTCATCAGTGTCGGATTTGGAGAGCCTGTACTCTTTCCTGGGAGCCACTCCACACGGGGCTCCCTGCTTTGTGGCCACCACATCCTGATGTTCCAGATGCACAATTCGTGAAGGTTCTCGCTCCTTCGAAATATGCTTGAAGCCTCGCCAAAGATTCCCCCATGAATTGACCACCGATGACAGGAGTGCGACACGCACTCCGTCCATAATTTGGTTCCTACTCCACCCGTACGCCCTGGTTGAACAAAGCCACTACTGCAGTTGAGAAGCTCAGGTTTCATGATAACCACACCTAGAATCCTCAGGGACTGGATCGAACAGAAGAGGGTGAAAAGTGAAGAAATTCACCACAAGGTCGTGCTCCACCTCTTTTGGTGCGTTCTCGAGTAAACCACTAAAGGCATGTCAATCATTATAGCTATGAATTCACTCATGTGTAGGCAGATCAACGGCAGAGACTCACGGTGAAAGTCCAACAACTGCCGTCAAAACTCAAAAAAGTGTGTACGCTCCACGACACCTGAGACTACACGTTTCGAAAATGAAGCGATTCTCAATATCGAAGCTTAGCTGAAAAGTCCTACCACATTCATCGTGCAGCGGTAATCATCCTCTTTCGAAAGACATCTGCCCTTTCTGCTCAGCCGCCTTCGTGCCGACAAAAAATACAATTCCCACGAGCACCTCAAAATCAACCTCACTGCCTTTTCCAGCTCATAACTGCCAGCCTTTTGAGAGTTGAATAGCCATTCCTTGGTTGGATGTTGGTAACAAGTCACTGATAGTGGTGGTACATATAACGATGATAGGTTGCACATGTGCTTGGAAAAGAGCGGGCTCAAACATAAGTTCAAAATACGCACGAACTTCTGAGACAACCTAATACTTATATTTGAAATGAATAACAAAAAAGCTTCATTTATCTCAAATATCTACCCGATATCAAATGATAACCGAGTACCGACCATACTCATAGCCCTAAATCCCTCGTAGAGAATTCTTCGTGCGAGGGATTCGGGGGTGCTAACTTAGTTGGGGGGGGCCACGCGGCGGCGCGGCAGTCTGCTCGCCTGGCATGTTCGGAAATCCGTGGGCCAGGGGGAGTGTAGCAGTCTAGGGGGGTGGGGGTGGGGGCAGTCACTTGACATGCGTGAAAAGCTGGAATGTTCGAGTTTACACTGTCTCGCTCGAGAGAGCCCAGGTGAGCAGACTGCCGCGCCGCCGCGTGCCCCCCCCCCCCCAACTAAGTTAGCACCGGATTTAGGGTGACTATGTGAGTATGGTGGGTACTCGGATTCTTCGAAGCTATCATCCTGTAAGGAGAAGGCTTATTTTGCGACAGTTCATGGCGTCTACAGCTTATCCAAATTACAAGAGAGAAAACTTTGGGATGGGTATAAAAGCGGAAGCGGGTCTATTCCAGTTAGGGGGGCATCATGATGCAGTTTTCCAGAAAGCTAAGGTAACTCCGAGCCAGGGGGAGTGTAGCCAGTCTAGGGGGTGGGGTGAGGGCAGTCACTTGACATGCGTGAAAAGCTGGAATGTTCGAGTTCACACTAGTTCGCCGAGAAACTGCATCATGATGCCCCCCCCTAACTGGAATAGGCCCGCGAAAGTGAAATGGTTCACCACTACAAGGTTTTCTTCCTCTCGGAAAACTGAACTTATGTAGGCGGCAGTAACTGTCGCGACAACACTCTTCACTGGATGAGACTCCATATCAGAAATCAAAGCCTAACTCACTGCTCAGTGCTGAGCTCAGGCAGATCCACTTCATCGTTGGCAACCGCGACGCTTTCCGTCTCTTCAGAGGAATTAGCAGGAAAAGCTTCTTGATTTAGGGCAACCATCTTGAAGTTAGTAAACTTAGTACCTAAACAGGGCAACTATGAGCTCAATAAACCATATGAAAGACGAAAACAGAAAGAAACATCCTCCCAACTGCATATAATGAGTTTTCGGAAGTGATCAGCGTCCCACACTTTCGGCTGTAAGTAATACACGAAAAGATTTCGAAGCAGAGCAATGAGAACACGCCAATGCTTGTGCGAAGATAATGTCAAAGAAAATACGAAGGGAAACTGCCCGTACAACACAAAAGAAACAAGCAAAGTGCAAAAAGTGCAGAAGCGTGCTGGGACAATTCAAATAATTGCGCGCCACAAATCTCCCGCATTGATAGTTTAGCGCCGTAGGACCCCACAGCGTCGAGCGATTCTGAACCTTTAGTTGTAAATTTATTTTTCGCGGTTTGGCACATTGATAATTTTGAGTTTGACGGATTTTAAAGAAAGCGCAGCGCTATCACAAGAAGACAGAGGGACGATGTAAAGTTAAACGTGAGCTTTTCCGCTCAACGAGTCCTTCAAAGTTGGAAGTTGCTGGGGTTTCCACTCGGGTTCTATTTCTGTGGCCTTTTTGTGTGTTGCACGGCTCTGGTGTTTGCTGGTGTAGGAGGACAATTACTGTTACTTGTTGTATGTGGTACTTTAACAGATGGCCCGCCGATCCATGTAACCTCCGTAAAAGCTTTCAAGTAGTCAACAAAAGGAAATAACTAGGTTATTTATAAGGAAACCTTTTGTTGTACTGTTGTTCATTTATCTTTGTTTCCTACGACTGCCTTGTGCGTCGTTTCAAATAAATAAGAGAAGTCGAAAAAAGCTGGCACAAAATCACATGCAAACCGATCTATTCGCGACATTTACTGCCTCGTTCACTGCTGTTTTCAGGTTTTAGCCGATATTTTACATTCTTTCTGGGCCATGAAGCCTTTTCAGAGCGCAACAAGAGTTGCTTCAGTAGGCGTTCTGGCAAAACATCTTGCACCCTTCCATCCGAAATCCATTTGGTGTCCCTGATTTCAACCCCATGTTTTGTTCATTTTTTCTAGCTCAGCTCCAGGGTCTCATCCAGTAAGGGGGGCATGTGGTGTGACAGTTCTTGTCCGGCTACAGAAATTCCAATTTTTGCAAGGGGAGGGAATCCCCGGGGTGCGTGAACCATTTCGAAGCTTTTACACCCACCCCGGAGCTTCCCTCCCCTGAAAAATGGATTTCTTCATGCAATATGAACTGTCGCACCACATGCCCCCTTACTGGATGAGACCTCAGCTCCATGCTATTTGCTATACGCTCAAAACCACAAGGTAGAGTTGTTACAGAACCGAATGGCGTGGAATGTGTGCACGTACGCAATGGCTGCGGGTACGTTTGGCGCAAGTGCTGCGATTTCATCGAAGTTTGCGTTCGGACACTATGTTGTGGAGAAGGAGTATGAGGTAACATTTTCGAAAATGCCAAGCTCATAAAGACAGCCGTCACGGCAGCTCAACTGCACTTTCACGATCAAATTGGTGTAGATAATGCGCTCGAAAATGAAAGTGAAGGTGCGAAGTGAACCGTCGGAAAAGAAGAAAGGAAAAAATCGTTGAAAGCACTAGAACTCGGGGTGCTAACTTAGTTGGGGGGGGCACGCGGCGGCGCGGCAGTCTGCTCGCCTGGCATGTTCGGAAATCCGTGGGCCAGGGGGAGTGTAGGCAGTCTAGGGGGTGGGGGGTGGGGGCAGTCACTTGACATGCGTGAAAAGCTGGAATGTTCGAGTTTACACTGTCTCGCTCGAGAGAGCCCAGGTGAGCAGACTGCCGCGCCGCCGCGTGCCCCCCCAACTAAGTTAGCACCGAACTCGGAGTCATTCTCTCGAATTGTGGTTATATACAGTCGATATACAGCATGCTTTGCTGATATCCAGCGATGTATGTTGGAAGCAGCTTATCCACATAGCTTCTATCAAGTGCACACGTCACTTCCGGTGACACGCCCACCCCAACTCTCGGATATCGAGTATACATAAGACAGACAATGAGATAGGCACTCAGGCACTACATGGTGGGCGAGAGAACAGATGAGTGAGACGAGGGAGCATAGCAGACCGGCGAGAGAACAGATGAGTGAGACGAGAGAGCATAGCAGACCAGCGAGTGGTAGACGCTCATACACCGTTGCCTTGTGAATAGATAAACTACCTTCAACGGCAGTCATAACAAGGCCATAGTTCGCGCGTTGTCAAGCAGCGATAGCGACACAATTTTAGTTTTTGCTGATGGCTATTCCCTACCCATGAAAGGGACCCCCAGACTTCATCATGGAATATGCTTGCGAAAAGTAAAGTAAAGTAAAGTAGGGAAAGAAAAGAATTCGATCGGTACGCATCTACTTCTTTTCACAAATTCGTCGATTCTCCGATTCTTCAGTTCAGCGCTATCTCGAACAGAACCGAGCGCATCACGAAGTACGCTAGTGCGGTGCGGCCTGTTTTCGTCTGTGCACGGTTGCTTTCAATATGGCTTTCACTAGGCTTGTGG